GAAAATTACCAGGAGAATTAGGAAGAGAGATAGAAAATAAATGGTCAGCCTATTATGCAAGTTTACCAGCAAGAATAGCCACCGGAGAATTAAGAATAAGAGGAACTTTAGGAATAGGACCTAGAATAATTTTTACATTTTATAAGCTCAAAGAAAAATGTATAGAAGTAAAAATACAGAAAGACTTGAAAAAACAAAGTTACGGCTTTTGTAGCAGTGTAATATATACTCCTCAGCAATATGAAGATGAACATAATAGGAAAAAATACAAAAAATATGGAAAATATAGAAAAGAAAAATACTGGAAGAAAAATTATAGAAAACCATGGAAAAAACAAAAATTCATTAGAAAAAGTAGAACTTTTAATAGGACAAATTATAAGAAATTACCCAGAGAAGAAAAAGATAAAAGAAAACAAAGATATGTTAGAAAACCCAACAGTAAAAAATGCAATTGTTTTATATGTGGAGAACCCAATCATTTTGCAAAGAACTGCCCAAGAAGACAAAGACCAAATACTAATAAACAGATAGAAAGACTACATATTATAGAAGACTTAGAAGAAGATATAGTTAGTATAACTAGTGATGATTCAGAAGTATATAGTATAGTCAGCGATTATGAATATCAAATAGAAGCCATAAGTTCAGATAGTGATTCAGAAGGTGATACTAATATAGATAATCTTTTAGGACAACTCAACCAAGAAATAGGACTAACACCTTCCCAAGAAACTTTCTTTATGATGGAGTGTAATCCAGATACTGAATGTCAGCATAACTTTCAAATAGGATTAGGATTTGATACCACTAGATGCAGCTATTGCAATTGGTTTCCAGCCAAAGATAAACGAGTTCAATGTTTATTATGCAGCATAACTTATTGTGTAATCTGTCTAGAAAAATTAAATATGACACATAAGATAGCCTTAGGAAATACTAAGGAAGATCATAGTCTAGAAAGCAGAGAATTACATTTAACAATTAGAGAATTAGAAATACAAGTAAGAGAGCTTAGGATACAAATACACGAGATAGAAACCAAGACTAGTTTTGACATAGAATGTTTAGAATTAGAAAATAGACAGCTTAAGCAGCAGCTAGAACAATTTCACAATAAGTACCCCTTAAAAGACAAACTGATTGAAGAGCATATGAATTCATTAGAATTAGTCAACCTAGTTGATTCTCAACCCTTTAGTCAATACTCTAAAGCCCAACCAGATACTACATCCTTACCATTTAATTATCCAGTTATACCTAAACCAAATATAGTTGAGATCTCTGGTGTAATCAAGTTTGCAACAAAAACCCTTAGTATAGATGCCATGATAGATACAGGAGCTAGTAAATCATATATTGAACAACACGTAGTTCCCCCCGGATGGAGCACGACTTTAACAACCCCAGCTTTAGTTAGTATAGGAGACGACACTAAACAGATATACACACATTGCATCAATGGAGCACAAATTAGTTTTCATCATCTAGGTTCTCAAGATCAGCATGTAGAGTGGTTCCCTTTACCTCAGGTTTGGATTGGAAATACCCGACAGAATCATCCTTTCATTTTAGGACTTAATCTCATCCTCAGCTTACAAGGTGGCATGTTACTCAGCCAAAACAACATTAGTTTCTTTAAACGAACTGTACATACCCCAACCGCTTATGCCCTTAGCACCATCGCCTATTCATCAGAGTTGTGTGCGAAGCGTGGTGGTACCATAGGAGTAGATTCCGTTCCAGCTAGTTTTTTATTCCCAAGTAGAAATATTTTTCCCGACCTAACCCAAAAATACATACCTAATGAGATAGCAAATACGTCTTTAGAAAACTTAGATACAGAAAATTATGATTATGATTTAGAAGAATTTGATTTTGAAAATAAGGAAGATTATTGGAATCTAGAAGATTTTAAACAACCAGCTAATTTAGAATTAATTTTTGCAAAAATAGGAAAAATAAAGAAAAAACCAATATACAAGAGAACCGAAAATGATTTAGACGAGATAATAAGATTAGCTGAAACAACAGAAATTTTAGGAGAACAGCCCATGAAATATTGGGAAAGAAATAAAATTTTAGCTAGTCTAGATATAAAAAATAAAGACTATAGGATTACCTCAGCACAAATAGATCATACACCAGCAGACATAGAAGAATTTAGAACACAGATTAAAGAATTACTAGATCTAGGAGTAATTAGACCCAGCAATAGCCCGCATAGGAGTGCAGCATTTATGGTTAGAAATCATGCAGAAATAAAAAGAGAAAAAGCTAGAATGGTGATAAATTATAAAAGATTAAATGATAATACAGAAGATGATAAATATAACATACCAGATAAAGACCAACTCATAAATAGAATACAGACAGCAAAAATATTTAGCAAATTTGATTGTAAGTCAGGATTTTGGCAGATAAAAATGGAAAAGGAAAGCATACCATGGACAGCCTTCTGTTGCCCTCAAGGACATTATGAGTGGCTAGTTATGCCCTTTGGATTAAAAAATGCACCTTCCATATTTCAGCGCAAAATGGATAGCATATTCAATAAATATAGTTTTATACTGGTATATATAGATGACATATTAGTGTTCAGTCCAGATGACATAGTTGTAGAAACAGACGCAAGCCAATTAGGATGGGGAACAATCTTATTAGCTAAACCCAGTAAATATGACAGTAAAAATAAAGAACGCATTTGTAGATACAGTTCTGGCCAATTTAAAGAAAAAGATACAACTATGACCAGCCTAGATTTCGAAATACTAGGAGTAGTATACGCAATAAATAAATTTAGATTATTTTTGCACAAACCGTTTACAATAAGGACAGATTGTGAAGCCATAGTTAGATTTCATAACAAACTAAACGAGCGTAAATTAAGTACTAGAAGATGGGCAAAATTTTTAGATTGTATAGTAGGACAGGGATATAAAGTAGAATTTGAGCATATTAAAGGAAGCGATAATAAACTAACGGACTGGTTAAGTAGAAAAATTTATTTAGAAAAAGAAGATAACCAGTTTAATTTTTGTGCAGATAATGGAGAACAGCAAGACCATGAACTTTGGGGGATTTTCTCTTCCCATTCATGAAGGCAGAACCAAGTTCAGACCCTTAACAGGAATTGAGCTAGACCCAGTTCAACAGTGTCTTTTAGATAACCTTTGGACCAGCCAAAACCACCCAGCTAAGTGCCTTTCAGCCCTAAACTCTCTCAGTATATATTTTTCAAAAATCCAAAACAAGCCCCTGTCTAAAAGTTTTTCTTTCTATGTAGTAGCTAAAGGAACCAAGCCTGGTATTTACTATGATTGGATAGAAGTAGAACCTTTAGTCAAAAATTTTCCCACACCTCAGTTTAAAGGATTTTATGATTTTGAGTCAGCTAGTACCTATGCCCGAAGACAAATAGGAACCAGTTACTTTATTAGCCAGATAGCTAAAGATTACCTGGACACATTGAGCAAGATGAGATCTACCATCCTTGCTAACAGTGGCGTTCCAGTTAGCCAGACAAGTGGAAGCAGTAGTACAAGCAGCAGTAGTTCTAATCCTCAGACAGATTTCCAGAATCCTCTCCAAATGTGCAGACATTGTGAAGGCCTTTCCAGAAATTTCAAGAAAATTATGGATAAAGGCAAGAAAGTCAGTGAAGAGCTAAGCCAGCTCCGAGACGAAGAAAAACAATTGAGAGCAACCATTAGAACCTTAACCATCCAGCTTAAAAAATTAGCTCCAGAAAGAACACCTACCTCCTTACCTAGCCCAGAAATCAGGCAACTCACCAGTGAGGAATTTGACCAATTGAGTGCTAGAATGTATTTCTTCAGGCATTCTATCATTCGATCCCTTTGTGAGAAAAGCCAAGTAATGGAAGACCTAAAACCTTATATTTATACCTTAGCCGGAGATAGCAGAAACGACGAGTTAGTCATTATTCAGCAGTTTCTACAAGATCTCTCCATAGCAAGGGTTGACTGTCCGGGCCTAGCTTACCAATGGACCTATACCTATGAAGATGAAGAGCAACCCTGCTTAGACGAAGAAAGATGCAATAAGAGATCAGAACATTTTGGTAGATGTCAGTGTAACCTAGACTTCAGCATTTGCCTTTGCCAGATAAATTTAGCCACATTCGAGCCGCTGGAGATAGAAATTAGGGGCGAAACTCGTTATCTAACAGCTCCAAAATTGTTAGATTACGGCTTTGTCTCTAGACTAATTTTCACAGATCCAGATCAGACAGATAACTTCGGACACAAGCTTGCTCATGCAGTACTGTGCGTAATGGAAGAACATCATCCGTATGTGGAAGCTTTAATAGATAGCAAACTACCAGAGTGGAAGGAAATATGGTGTAATCCAGCTAAACATAAAATGTACCTCAGAGGAACTTCCACATTTCCGGGATACCCAGGACTTCTCAATAGGAGACCCTGGCCATGCAGAAGATTTCCACTCAAAGACCAGCTCAATAAATGGAGAAAATTTGCTAGAAACTCTCTCTTAGCCTATAATGGAAATTATGGACATCTAGTTTGTGAAGACAGACATCAGAAGATACATTGTAATTTAGCCATCCCAGGATATCCATTCAGCAAAGAGACATTTGTCGATGAAAGTCAGTACCCAAACTACCAACATGGCGTCTCCCATGAATCACCAGTGATGGGAGAGAATGATCAAGAATGAGACGATGAACCACCCATGGGAGATGGGGATGATTTTTACGACCAACTTTCAGCAGCAGATCTTGGGTAAAAATAAAAAAAAATGTATGGATAAAAAAAAAAAAAAAAAAATCCCACACTACAAGACTCATATAATATCACTAATACCTGTTTTTTTTTTTTTGGATACATCAAAATACATACAAAGTTATTATTTTTATTTTTTTATCTTATTTGATTTATTTTGTTTTACAGAGTATACATAAAAATAAATAAATAAATAATTAAATAAAATAAAAATAAAATAAAATGTGACTGGAAAGAGAGAGCGAGAGACGATAGATAAAGGGAGAGGGAGAGATCGACCGGGAGGAGGGGAGATGAGATCGAGCGATCTGTCCATCTACAGACCAGACAGATCGAGCGAGAGGGAGAGGGAGAGGGAGAGAGAGAGAGAGAGAGAGTGAGATCGAGAGAGAGGGAGACAGAGAGGGAGCGAAAGGGAGAGAGAGGGGGACGAACCTGATCGACTATCGTCGAGCTGCTGTTCGCGAACCTGATCGACGAACCTGAGCGAGAGAGAGACGACGACAAACTCCTCTCCTCCTTTGCCGCTGCTGTTCGACCTAGGTAGGTTTGGTTGATTGATTTTTATTTTTTGTTTTATTTTACCTTATTTTGATATTTTATATTTTGACCCGCATTTTAAGTTTTTGAAATTATTTTTTTCCCCGCCGTATCCCGACACTATCATCGCGCATCCCAAAGTATCCGAAATTCAAAAATTAAAAAAAAAAAAGGATATTTTTTTTGCCATATCTGATGTATCCCGCTGTATCGGCTGCGTATCCACATCCGAGACATATCCATGCTTCGTAGATACTAAGAAAATTCTGACTTCACCAAGGTTATAATGACATATCCTTAATGGTAGAAGGAAAAGAAATAAAAATTAATGATTGTTCTATGTCACGTTTGAGTATAACTTGACTTTTATTTTTCCTGTATTTTTAAATTTTGAAAGGTACAATGAATTATATAACTTCAACATAATATATGTTTGCTTTTTGTGTTTTTTATTTTTTTTGTTTTTCATATATGAACGTTTGTAGGGTTTGAGTATTGTCTAGAACTTCAGATTTTGCTAATTCTTTTGATTACCGTGTTCTGTTAGATTTGCCCCTGCCACTTTTGGGAGGTGGGAAATTCTTTTGTTGTCTCATTGGACCTATTTGTAAGTGTATGTTTCTCCAAATTCTAAGAGTCATGATGATCTATATTATTAAGGGTTGGTTTGGTTTGTGATGATCTATATTATTTGATTGTGAAATCATGCTTCTCACTACTATTAATGTTTACCATTGCAAGCTATTTGTCATGTTGCTGGTCAACTCCTGTGTAATTTTGGAATATATCTTTGATTTTGAGCTCAACTAGTTTGGAAAAGAAGCCTCTTGAATTTGTTGCTGGTTTTTTTTATGGAAATGCCTTGTATAGATTTATCTAAATAGCGAGTCATTGTGGACGTTTGGCCAGGCCTCCTCTTGAAATATAAGCCATTAGTATTGTTTTGTAAGAGAATTACAATAAATAAATAAATCCTTTCTATGCAATTATTATCCCTTTGAGAATTAAATTGTCAAACATTTGTTTGGATTTAGATCTAGCTAGAACTACAGATTCTTGTGTCATGTAGTTGCAAATTAACTTTCTAGAACAATGCTTTAATGGACCTACGGTCTTTTGAGAATTTTTTTAGTAAAGTATTGTAACAGGGTAAAACATGCCATATTGTCTTTGGGATAAACAAATTGGGGTATTTTTTTGCAGGCGCCTTTGAAAGCTTGGTACTATGCTGGCTGAGTGCAAAGCTGATCGCTACTGCCATATAGCATTCTTAGAAGGTATTATCCAGGGAATCCGTATACTTTGTCTTTCTATTTGATTTTCAGTCCTATCTGCTTTCATTTTATTTGAGGAGTGATTTTGTGTCTTCTCTTTTTTGAGGGTGGAGTTGAATTACAATAGTATGAAGAACTATCAATGACAAAAGGAAAAAGACTCTTAGAGCTTTTTATTCTCATTTTACTAAAAGAGGAGAGTATTTGAGTTAACAACCTAGACAAGACTGCTTTCCACATGTTTTCCACTCTATAGATTTTTAATCTACTTTTCTTGACACAATAGATAACTCTTATGCTGTATTTGGTTGGGGGATTTGGGGAGGGATTTGGAAAGGGAAATGGAAAAGGTAGGTGAAATGTGAATAAAATATGTATATATTTCACATAGTTTCACACACCTTTTCCCTTTCCCATTCCAAATCCCTCTCTAAATCCCCCAACCGAACACACTATAAAGCTCTTTCATATTGGGTTTAGGTTGTGTGTGCACACACACACATGTTTTGCTTGTTTGTGTGATGTCAATGATCCTCCGACTATAAAGAGGTCCATTTATTTTTTCTAAATCGGACTTGATATATACTTGCATAGGGTTACAATTAGAAAAAATCAAATTTTATAACCTCCTCCAAGTTTTGCAAAATAGGCACCATGGATTTTTTTATTGTTTGCTTATATATTTTCGTTCTATTTGTTCTTTAGGACCCTTAAGTTCCAGTAGTGAGCTGGTCCAATGTTTTCAAATATGAGATGTTTTCATCCATAGCACTCACACAGCAGTTAGCAGTTGTTGGACGTTTAAAACAGCAAGCCACAGGTAGCATGCAGCAGGGTAACATTAATAATTAGTGATAAAAAATTAAGAGCTTGTTTGGGGTGTAGTAAAATAGTACACTTTTTATCTTTTTAGGGTCACATCACCTCTCTACTTTTCTGCACATCTTTTGGTAAAAATTTAATAAATGCACTTATTTAAATCATACCAAACCCCTAAGTATCTGATGGATGTAAATTTCAAATCAAAGAATTTGAGGTTATTTTGAACCATGGGCATGGGCCATCATGCGCAGCACGACCCCTCGCAATTAGTCTACATATATGTGTGTTTTGTGGGAAGGAATACCATTGCTCAGAAAACACAATTTGAAGCTTGTGAAAGCAGTTTTATTTTCTCATAAAATATTGAGTTTATACTATATTGATTTGGTATTTGGGATGATCAAATGAACTGTTACTGACACCTTTATATTACGTGTGCACTCTTGTAAGGAAAACGACAAATGACGATTGCATCCTATTAACTTGCTACACCAAGTACTCAAAAGGGTGAGAATTTACTCTTAAGAACAGTAATTACATGCATGTGTCTATAAATTTTATGTGTATCGTTTTATTTCTTTTATAATTGTAATAAATTCTCATCTATTTTATATTTTGAATTTATGATTTAAATAAATTATATTTTATCCCCTCAATTTCCAACATGGCCGGCGATTGGAGTTGTAGGGGAAGAAGGAAAGAGGAGGGATAATTTGATAATTCAAAGGGTCTGATTCCTTGTTTTTTCAATTATTTTAGATGGTTTCATGTCTTTAATTTGCAATTCTTTTCTAAGCTTCCATATTTTTGCAATATTGTTTTTGGGTCTGACCATATATACATATATATTGCAATTTCCCCTAGTTAATAGGTCGGTACTATGTTTGATGCTTAATTTTTCACCAGTTAAAGAGTAGTACTTCCCACTCTTTTGTCTTTAATCAATTTTTTGTTTCAATTTTATCGGATGTTTCAATTTTTTCTGTACCATGTTTGATGCTTGATTTTGTTCTGCATGATTACCTTAGAAATTTTATTTTTTATTGCTGAATTGAGCACATATTCTACACCTGTGGCTAAAATAATATTCAACTCATGTTTTGTTTATCAAAATAATGAGTGAAGATCAAAACTCACATGAACTGTGATAATAAAAAAGCTATGAAGCATAGACACGGCAAAATCAGCGCCGTGGCGGTGTCGGACACAAGGACACGCCGGGGACACGCCGGGGACACGTACGGGACACGCCGGGGACACGTACGGGACACGCCATCTTCCGTGTCCCTTTAATTTAATTGTTTTTCTTGTAGGGGACACGCGTGTCTAGATCTGGACATGGCGTGAGACACGGCAAGGAGGGACACGGCAAGGAGGGAGAGACAAAGGAGAAAGTGTGAAGGAAGAGAGTGAAGAGGGACAAACCTATCGAAGATCGAAGCTCCAAGCTCCAAGCTCCATCAGTCGATCGAACAATCGAACACCCCCAGACAATCGCGATCTGTCTCTCTCTCTCTCGCCTTCTCAATCTGTCTCTCTCTCTCTCTCGCAACCGCGACCGCGACCGCGACCTCGACCTCTCCCTTGCCTCTGTCGTTTTATCTGAGGTTTTAGTTATTATATAATATTATTATTATTATTATTATATAATATAATACATATTATAAGATATTATATACTCATACATATTAATAAATAAAAAAAAAACACATGTATATAAAATAAAATAAAAAAATTATTTGAAACATATTATTTAAAAAATATAATAAATAAATAAAATAATTAATGTCTATTAAAATAAAAATATTTATAAAAAAATTAAAAAATTCGCCGTGTCCCCTGTCGTGCCCGTGTCCCTATTTTTTAGAAATTGTCGTGTCCGGTGTCCGTGTCCGTGTGCGTGTCCGTGTTCGTGTCCATGCTTCATAGTAAAAAAGTTCTAATTTATTTAACATGCCTAAATTTATAATTCTTAATAGAAAAGAATAACAAAAAAATGATTATAAAAGAATAAAGTTCAATATTAATATATATTTTTGATAACTCGATATCTAACTCGAGGTATCAATCCCATCATTTTTTTTTTCATAACTTGATATCTGATCTATTGGACTGGCCCCAAGAAATTAGTTGGGGCTAGGAGATTTTGAACCTAAGAGCATCCACAATAGACACACTAAGCTGTGTGTTAGTGTCAGGTGCTAAGTTTTGGCTAACTGAGGGTATTGTTTGGAGCTACAATGGAGTTTTTAACGTGTGTGTGTTAGTATCAGATGTTAATATGTGTGTTAACTGTAGTGAGCATTTTAGCCAGCGAAGGAGAGAGCGAATGTGCGTGGGGGATGTCCCCCCAGACGTCCAACCGGAAGTCTCCCCGGACGTCCGGCTCCGAATCCTTCAAGAAAAGAAAAGAAGAAATTTTTGGTCTTACCGGTTGACCGGTCAACGGCAAATTTTTTTTTTTTTAAACTTGGGATTTTATTCCGGATTTGAAATTTAATTTTGGGCTTTACATTTTTTATTAAACTAAATTATTTATTTATTTTAATTATTATATACACATATATATATATATATATATATATATTTAACACACTTTAACATGCCCCTTAACACATCTATTGTACCACCATTCATTTACTATTCACTCACTAAATTAACAAACTCTTAACACATATTTTTGGGTCCCACTTTTAACACTTTTTGTCATATAACACACTTTAACACACAATTTTAGCACATCCATTGTGGATGCCCTAAGACCTTGATGGATTGCAACCCCATGCCCCAAACCTCGATCACTAGGTCAACCCCTATTGTCAATATAATAGCAATATTCTTATTTGATTACATGATGAAACAAGAATGAAAATACATTTCATTCAACACAAATTGCATTAAAATATTAAGGTAATATATTGTCTTAGCAAAGAAACAAATAAATATCCAGTATTCATACTTAAAAACAGAGAAATAATGAATATAAGCCTCCTAGTAATTTCCAACTAGTGCTTGCGTCCTTCCTAGTCTCCATCTTCAACACCACCCTGCATTTAAGAATTCAAACATCAGTAAAAGTCAAGTACTCATCAATGAAGGTGCAGGATTATTCTTACATGTCCACGTCAAAGTTCCAAACCATTCTTGAGAAAAGCTAACTATACTTTATCAGAAATAATACATCCTTCTAATTTGGGAACTCTAAAAGAGCGCTAATGATGTGGAAAATCAAAAAATAAAAAATAAAAAATAAAATCAAGGCCTAAACATCACATCACATGGTACCCACACACCAATTAAAGCTCTTAATTTAGAGCTCCCAATCTTTTTGCATACTTTATAGATAGATTCGTCTGCTAGGCATGCCAAACCCAAAAATAGTGCAGTACACCCTAGTAACTAAAAAGGTGAAGGCAGTCGTGCCAACATGGCAAATCAGTAAAGCTTTGTGATGACCAAAAATTGATTAAGACCCTAAACCTACAAGAAAAATGTAAGATAATGAAGCAACAATGCAATCCTACAACTAGGAGTGTAATTAGTTTGGATATGGGAAAAATTTCCCAATTAACACTGAAAACAGACCACAACAATTAAACAACCAAACCAAACAGATATGCATAGGGCCGGTTTAGAATGGTTTGATTTAGTCAGTTTGGAAAGTAAGAAAAAAATAATAAAACAACGCCTAATTAGTATATATTAATGTGTGTTTTGGAGGGAAAAGATTGAGTACACATCTAACTCTTGGCATAATGCACAAAGTAATAGTCCCAAAACTTGAATCCATAACCTCGAGGTTATTAAGCCAAGTCTTAACTATTGAACCGATGGTTACCTCTAAGAAAAAAATGATAAAGAAGGGGGAAAATTCATTCGAAAGCTATCACATATACTGTCTTTATGTCTCACCTAGTTACTGATAAACGCGTTTATGATTATATGCTCACTTGCACCATTTCATATCCCATATCTAAGTTCAACACATTTCTTACACAGGCAATATATCAAACTTTTCAACCCCTTGCATATATGCAAGGTCTAGACTATTTCTTATGTGAATCCAACCCTTATCTGTTAGAGTTATCCTCGAGAGCACTTGAAGTTCTATATGTAAATACTCCTTACCAATCACAAGAAGAACAATTTTTTAGAGCACAGAAATTAGAAAAGTATAAGTTTGCCTATA